TAGTTTACTTCTGGTTCCTTCTTTCCCTTCTATAGATAAGATTTTTTGGGTTAAGTTTAACCGTACAACCTGAGTTCTTTTGTCTTACGTTTTTTGGAAGATATTTTTGCATGAGGATCTGGGTTGAATGCTTTTGAGTATCTGAAGCCATCTGTTAATGAACTTGATTTTTTATGTACTTATTTTCCAGGTCAAGAGCAATCTGAATCCAAATGCAAAGGAGTTTGTTCCTGGGGTGAAGTACTAAAATATTTGAGTAGACGGGGCCCTCTTTTGGTGGATGTAGCACAATTTCCACACTGTGAAGGCAGTATTAGAAGACTTAATTGTAAAAGCTCTCTCTTGTCACTGTGTTACACTTATGCATTGCCAAAGTTTTGTTAGTCTTGCATGCTTAATAAAAGTGCTGAGACTGTTATTAAGTAATAAGCTGTCAAACATTTACTGAAAATAGAATTGGCCCCATGGCTTGATGTGAAGACAGCGAGGAAAGAAGCACCAGTCAAGATGTAACAAAGCGCCAAATTAAAATGACCTCTAAATCTTCGTGAATTGCCTTTTTTGAGGCTAAACTGGTCCCTGAGCGTTAGCTAACCGTTGTTAATGTCCAAACTTTTTTTTTTTTTTAACGAGTAAATTTAAGTTCAAGTTGTTAGGCAAATTTCTCAGTTCAGACTTACTAAATTTGCATTTGTCACTATCAAGAAGAATTTCCTTTTTCTGAAGAAGGCCTTGTTAATTAATTTGAAACAATTCATTATAGACAAGTAAGTCTTTGGTTACTGAGGTTATAAGGTAATGCTCATGATGAGAACTAACCCTGGCTTTTATGGTATGTTATCACGTAAGAAATGTGAATCCTTCTAGTGTTAGATCTGAGGAAGTATTGCATCTTCTCAGGTGTCACTGCATCATAGCCATGCCTATGTGAAGTGCAACATTTGACCCACCATAATCCAATTGAACAAAGAAATTGTAACATGATTTGAGTGGTGCTTTTCCTTGCTTTATTAACCATCACTACAATGGTCTGCAGCACAACTTTTCTTTTAACAAAGCTAGAACAGTTTTGGCTTCTTAAACTTCATACTTGGGTAGGTTAAGCTGCCATACGTGTTCAGTGTGAATAGTGTTTAAGTTGAAAATATTGTAAAAAAATTATATTTTTTCAAAAATATTTAAAAAAATAAATAATAGTAGAACTGAGCTGATGGTTGTGTTTATTGGTGCTTGAGTGCAGACTCTCCTGTGGTGATTGATACTCACTGTATTGTGGGTTCAGTACTTCAGGACAACCCTACTGGCAAGAATTGCTAAGAGAGCAGGCTTTATTAAATTCCATAGTGTCAAGTGTGTCATTACGCATGTATCTGTCCAAAATGTAGCAGTAAAACAAACCTGATCTCCCCTTCTGTAAGCCACTGTGATTACCTCAGGCTGCAGTCAGTGTCAGGGCAGTTATGGATGTCCACCTTAAGAAGGTTTTTGGCTAACCAGTGTAATGGTAACCTTACTCTAGTATAATCTCCATTGGCTTCTGCCCTTCACAAGCCGTTGCTGTTCTGATTGGACTCGTATGCTATTTTGGTTCACCTGGACCATCCCTGTTTTCCCCTCACAAACTTATTTATATGTTTGTTCCTGAGGTGAAGTATTAAAGGAGTTTGTTCCTGGGGTGAAGTACTTTATTTTGGGATAATCATTATCTTGGGACAGGCTGTCAACCAACTAGCAATTCCCTGGTTCTACATACAATTCTACCTTATGGCCCTACTCAGTTATGCTTTTCTTGAGTTTGTTGGGCTCAGAATTGAGAAGGCCATATAGTCAGTCTGGTTCACATTCTTTGTGGGGGATCCTTTGGTGTGTCCAAATGCCCCAGTGTTTTTTAATAGCTACCTTAAAAGACAATAAATAGGTAGGTTGTTGTTTTTTTGTGGTTTGTGGTTTTTTTGTAATCTCAAGCACCTGGCTGGCTCAGTTGGTAGAGCATACAACTCTTGATCTCAGGGTTATGAGTTCAGGCTCCACATTGGGTGCAGAACTTTAAAAACAAAAAATAATCTCTACACCCAACATGGGGCTTGAACTCATGCCCCCAAGAGTCAGATGCTCTACTGACTGAGCCAGCAAGGCACCCCAAAACAAGTGGATTTTTAAGAAACTCTGAAGCAGAAATGATTCTACTTGGCTCTCTTTCTTTTTGGAGCTTTGATACAGCCAGTCCCCTATGTCTCTTAATAGCTAAGTACCACAAGTGGCACAGCTGGCTGCCAAATGTATGAAGCTTACAGATCCTTTTTTCTCTAAGCTTAGACAGGGGCAGATGAGTTCATTTCTACATAATGCCAAATTATCATAGTGCAGTATAACTGGAGATTATAAACTCCAGTAATGATGTAAGGTAATGATAAAGAGCAAAGACTATGGGGCACCCTTCTTCCCCTGCTCACGCTCTTTCTCTCTCTTTCTCAAAAATAAACATTAAAAAAAATAGAAGTTCAGTTATTAAAATTAAAAAAAAATTTTTTTTTAATCTTTATTTTTGAGAGAGAGACAGAGCATGAGCAGGGGAGAAACAGAGAGAGAAGGAAACACAGAATCTGAAGCAGGCTCCAGGCTCTGAGCTGTCAGTACACAGAGCCCAACGTGGGGCTCGAACCCATGAACTGTGAGATCATGACCTGAGACAAAGTCGGACGCTTAACTGACTGAGCCACCCAGGCGCCCCACAGTTACTAAAATTACTAAAAAAAAAAAAAAAAAAAAAAAAAAAAAAAGCAAAGACTAGCCAGACTTCCTAGATGTGAATCCATTGATCATGGACAAGTCGCTTTTCTATGCCTTAGTTTCCACCTCTTTAAAATGGTAGAAATAATGGGGCATATGGCTGCCTCAGTCAGAAAAGCATGTGACTCTTGATCTCAGGGTTGTGAGTTTGAGCCCCACAATGGGTGTAAAGGAGTACAAAAAAAATTTCTTAAAACAGTAGTAATAACAGTATCTATCTTAGGATTGTGTGATTCGTTAATACACATCAAGCACTTAATATAGTCCTCAGCACATAGAAAGTTCTGTTTAAGTGATTGTTATTATTACTATTAAAAGAGTATTCTAATTTTTTAAAATGTTTATTTTTGAGAGAGAGACAGAGAGGGAGACACGGAACCCAAAGCAGGCTCCAGGCTCTGAGCTATCAGCACAGAGCCTGAGGTGGGGCTCGACCCCACCAGCCTCGAGATCATGACCTGAGCCAAAGTCAGATATTTAACCAAATAGCCACCCAGGCATCCCTAGAGTATTCTAATTTTGTTGGAACTTTTTTTTTTTCAAATTTTAGTTAAATGCTACTTAACATACAGTGCAATATTGGTTTCAGGAGTAGAATTCAGTGATTCATCACTAATATACAACACCCAGTGCCCATCCTAATAAGTACCCTCCTTAACACACATCACCCACCTCCCTCTATCAATCCTCAGTTTATTCTCTATTGTTAAGAGTCTCTTATGGTTTGTTTCCCTCTGTCTTTCTCTCCTCCTCCCATATGTTCATGTTTTGTTTCTCCCACATATAAGTGAAATCGTATGGTATTTGTCTTTCTCTGACTTACTTAGCATAATACACTCTAGCTCCTTTTGGAACTTTTCTTGTCAGGGAAACTACACATTAAAACTACTTAGCTGTTTAACTGGAATCAGACATCTGCATTACAGGTAGAGATGGAAAGTTTCAGAGCATCAGCTATTTCATTTTGAAGCCCTTTGGACAGATCACCCCATTAGGGCCTGTGTGTCATAGTTTTAAGGTAATTGAAGTCATCCTGTTTTGATTTTGGGGTTCTTATTTTATGATCATTATTGAAACAAGGCAGCATATATGAGAGGAGCCCAACGGAGGGCTTGAACTTGCAACCCTGAGATCATGACCTGAGCTGAGATCAAGAGTCAGACGCTTAACCACTGAACCATCCAGGTGCCCCTGAGAGGATTTTTCGTGTTCTTGTGCATTGTCAGTATTTCTCAACCTATTCCATGTCATAAGGTATTATTTTTTTTAGCATACTGGAGTGCAAGGATGGGGCTATCTGTGGCTAGAGTTTATGGTTCATGGGCTGCAGTTGACCCATTTCCTGCCTAGATACTCAGACTGCTGAAGGGGTCAGTGTGTCAGCATACTTGTAACTTCTTAGTGACCCACATCAGTTGGGAAGTTCTGCTCTCATTATGAAATAACTAAGGAATTCCATTCAGAATCCATATTTTCACTTTGTACCCATCTACTTTCCCCTTAAAGACTGTGAAATAGGTCACAAAAGTGGAAATTGAGTAGTTTTGTTTTTCTTTGGTTAAAGCATAAGAATATGATTTTTCAACCCTCCCACAAAAGACCATCTAACACATCCTACCTTTCCTGGAAGTAATTTTTCAGACTTTGGTGCACGCAGACCCAGTATGTATATTATCTGGAGTGTCTTCTGGAACTGGATGCTGGGCTTTTGACCTTGAAAATCCTCTGAAGACTGGGCAGATAGGAATGTATTTCAGAAAGGCAATCCTCTTTACCATGCTCATCCCAATGGGGAAGTCATAGCTCTTGAGGCTGGTAGACATCTCACTGTTGGCATGGGCCCCAGCTTTCCACTGTATTAGACCTCGTTCCTCTGGGCTCCCTGGAGGAGGACAGAGAAATTACCAGGGCCAGCAACACTCTACTACCTCCCCTTCCCATAACCTAGTCCTAAGGCAGACTTCTGGAATCCATGGTCTTCATTCTCAATTATTTTCTGGGACTGAAAAGTTACTGAATCCACAATTCTCAGCTCCTAAGTTGGCAAGAGCTAGAGGAAACCCTAAAAGGTACTGGTTATACTTAGTATTTATTGTGTATCTATAGTGTACCAGGCTCTGTGCTAAGTGCTTTCATTTCTTTATCTCATTTCTCCAAAACATTCCTGTGGGAAGTATACAGGTACTATTATACAAATTTATATGATGAAGAAACAGGCAGAAAGGTTAAGTAATGGTCAGTTTACATCTCTAGTGTGGAGCTAGTGTGTGCTAAGCTGATGGGGACCAGATAGTGCCCAGACCCGCTTTGGGGCCAAGCAGGGATATTCACAAACACTATAATCATTATTAATATTCAATATTATGATTCCATATTTAGAAAATACACTTGCTTTTATAATACAAACCTCAGAAAGTCAAGCTACTAAGTAAAATCTTTGTTGGTAGTATGGATACATAAAAGATTATTTACATCTAGGGGAGTATTTCCTCAAGAGGCAGGAAAGCAGTGCGTGAGATCTCTGAGGTTTTTACAAGAGGGCTGAGGTTAGAGAAGACTGATACAGTGTGAGTAGAAAGAGACTTCCACTAGCCCCACTAGCATTTCTTGAACTAAATTACCCCTCTTAGTTTCTGCTGTGGATGGGGAAAGAAAGAAAATGCAAGGCGGCCCATCAGCAAAATGTGCATCACACAGAAGAAAGTTGTATACAGGTAATTCCATGATTAAGGACCGGCTTCTGATTTAACCAGACCTGGGTTTGAATTCAGGTTGGCAATTAGGCAACTTGAATCAGGCAAGTGATTTGATCACTCAGCTTCAGATTCCTCAACAATGCACACTGAAGGACTGTTGACGATTATGGAGCTCCCTGGGTGGCTCAGTCGGTTGTGTCTAACTCTTTGATTTTGACTCAAGTCACAATCTCACAGTTGGTTGTGCAGCTGAGCCCCTTGTCGGGCTCTGTGCTGACAGCGCAGAGCCTGCTTGGGATTCTCTCTCCTTCTCTGCCCCTCTCCTGCTTGTGTGCTCGCATTCTCTCTCTCAAAACAAACATTAAAACAAAAAAGGATTATGGGGCATAAGTATAATGATCCCTGGTAGTCATGGTTGCTGATAGGGAGTTGGGTTGAAGGATGGGAATGTGAGAATCTCAGCAAGGCAGTCTGAGGCTATTAAAATCTGAGGTAGCTTAATCCAGCTACCCAAATCACAAAGTCCGTCAGTATACAGTCCAGCTGATGCCCTCTACCTCCTCAGATTCCATGAGCATAGAGGCTGCCACTTCTCTTTCTCATGTCCACAGCCAGCCTTCTAAATGGGGAGGAGCGGGTACCACCTGTTAGTCCATGGGGTAACTGCTACCAAGAGTTCTCTCATCATCTGATGCTGTCTGGAATTCCTAAAAGTGCCATGGCACTTAGGCCTTGCCTGCCCTCCAACCCTGCAGCTGTGTTCAGGCTGGGAAGTGGTGGGCGATGGAGGGCCATCATCCTTCTACTTCCATCCCTCATCTTCCTGGAATGATGCAGTCTTTAACCTCTGCCTCCGTGGGGCTTTCCCTGATCCACCAGATCCCCCGAAACCCTCTACAGAGGCAGTATGGTGCAATTGTTGGGACACAAGTCCTAGACTGCATCAAATGGACTTGGTAAAAATCCCAGATTTGCAACCTGTTAAATCTTCAAATGCTGTGAACTTTGGTAAGTCACTTAACCTCTCTGATTCTGTTTCCTTGTGAAATGGTGTTGATAGTATCTACCAGGATAGTCTTTGAGAATGAAATGAGACACATAGTTTCATGCCTGACCCATAGTAGACCTTTGGTAAACGTTAACTGTGCTTGTTACTCATAAGCAACTGGTGACAGTTTTTATATTTTACAGGGAACATAAACATGAGCCAGGAGGGTTCTCAGGGACTCACTAAGTTATCTTCCACAATCCCTGCAAAAAGCCGTAACATCAAAGAGAAATAAATGTTAGGGGCTCTTCTAGTAGCTAGTATTATTTGGTAGTGGGTGTTGCCAACAAACTGATGCTTCATTTGTATCTGCCCTAATCTAAGAAAGCAAAGGCTACCAAAGGCACCCCTCAACCTGGCTATCAAGAATTGGAAGGAAACAACTCACAGGGCCCCAGAATGACTTCTCTAGACCCATCCTCTTCAAGACCTATGAGGCATGACTGTACCACTGTCTAGCCACTAGTCTCTCCGTCCAGCCAGTGGGCACTCCACCAGCCCAAACTTCCTGTTTCTCCTTGCACGTCCTGCATTGCATGGGTCCTGGCCACACTTCTGATCGAGGGACCATTTGTTAGAGTGCATGTGAGCCCAGCCTAGTTCTGTTTCCCTCCCAGAGGTGACCCATACCTGGCACTGTGTTGTCCAGTATGAAAGCGAGGCACCCACCCACAAACATCTCTGTGGTCAGCAGCACGGTCAGAATCTGATCCACTTCAGGAATGCCTGTGGAATAGGTCAAGGGCCAGTGGACATCTTGGCCTCACCTGAAGACCAGAGCTCAGGGACTTTGTCCCCACTTGTGGAGTTTACTGACTTCCTTGAGTGGGCAGGGAGATGAAGTGGTACAAACCCCAACTTTCTAACCTATCTATGCCCTGTCCCACCCTTGGATTCAAATCCCAGTTTTGCCAATTGCTACTTATTTTGGGACAAATCATTTAACTTCTCTGAGCCTCACTTTCCTCTTCTGTAAGGTGGAAATGATAATACTATCTGTCTCCTGGAGCTGTTGTGAATATTAAATGAGCACATGTAAAGCTCCATAGCTGTCCATAGAAAGTGTCTTAGTAAAGGACAGTTGCTAATCACTTCTCAGCTTCTGGTTCACATCTAGAGTTGGGCAGGATCTGTGGTTCTGTCCTATGGTGCCTTTGACGGAGGGAGCTGTGCCCAGAGTCGAGCCCACCATACCTCCCCTATCGACCGAGATACTCAGACTAGCGGAGGCACCTGTGTTGATGACGCCGGGGTTGGACTCCAGGTAATTGGGCAGCGTGAGCCCGAAGAACATGGAAAATCCGAGCACGAACAGGTTGCGAGAGGAGTTCATGTCCACGAACTGCAAGTTGGATAGCCCCACAGCCGTAATCATGCCTGAGGGCGCAAGAGAACTGCTGAAGGCGTTCCGCAGGCCCGATGGGCTCCACCACTCCGCGACCGCGCAGAGACCCACGGCGCACACGCGGCACTCACCGAAAAGGGTGCAGAACATGCCCCCCAGGATGGGGTCAGGGAGCGAGGCAAAAAGGGCGGTGAATTTGCCAACAGTGCCCAGGACTAGCATGATGCCCGCACCATATTGCACCACGCGCCGGCTGCCCACCTGCAAGGGAGTCGGGGGGCAGGGTTAGACTCCAGGCGCGAAGCCTGACGGGATGAGTCGAGAGGACAGGGAGGTGGGCGGGGCCTGTTATAAAAGTGAGCACAAAAGGGCCGGGGCTTGATGCGGGGCGGGACCTCTCGAAGACAGGGCGTGGCTAGGCCAAAGTGGGGGAAGCTTGGGGCAAGTCTGTGGCACAGGGAATGGGGGTGGGGCTTTGTGCCGCTCCGGCTTGTCTTGGCACCTTGGTAATCCCTAGAACGCCAATGTTGGGACTAGACGAGGTGGACCCGTTGCCTGTGCCCAGCAGACCTGCGATAATGCAGCAGATGCCTTCCGTGAAGATGCCCCTATAAGGAAAGGGTGAGTTTGGGCCTCGGTCCAGCCTCTGCCCTGGCTTATGTCCTCCCATCACCCTGGGCGGGCTGCTCGCCTTCTTGGGGACTGGGCAAGCTGCAACTATCTGTCCGTAGTACTCCCCACTCCAGGCCAGAGGTGGGTCTGGGAGCCAAGCGCCCACGTCCGAGCGCTAGTCCCAGGGCCCTGGAACTTACTCCCTTAGGCGACTCTGGGCTTCAATTTCCTCATCTGTAAAATGGGCACAATAAGGGTACCTTGTCTCACAGAGTCGTTAGATTGCATAAGAGAATACACATGGAGGGCTATGCACATGAAAGGTTGTCAATGACCGCAGTTTCCCTTAGGCGTCTTTATCTCAACTACTGGTGACACTCAGAGTGAGTGATGTGAGTATTCCATTTCATAAGTAAGGAGAATGAGATCTGGAAAGTATTAGTGACTTGACCAACTCCACACCTTTGAGACTCAACCTTGTCCCTACATTTGCTTCCTGAATGGCCCCTGAGGGATCAGATATTGGAGAGGGCAGGTGGCCATACCTGTTGATAGCATGTACTGGAGGGGGTGGTGCACCAGCCAGGCGGGCACAAGCATAGTAATCTCCGATGGATTCAATGATGCCGGCCAGTGTGGCACTGAACATTCCCAGGACAGCAGCCGCAGTCACTGTGGGCAGGCCCCACTGACCTGGATAGGGAGGGAGAAGGGAGGATGGGTGCAGTAACCTCTGGGATGCAGGGAGTGGACAAGACAGTATGTGGGGGTTAAGATGTCTCACGCTGGGGTGGGAGCTATACAGTTGTGGGAGCTTATTTGGGATCACTCAGAGTCATGAAGCTGGAGTGAGGCTTTGAGGAAAATACCACTCTGCCTGCCACACTATAAATGTACAGCTAATGCCAAGTGCATCACTGGCTGCGTTGGGATCATCAGGGACCATCATGGATGGTCTTAGCTGGAAGTGGAAGGGCCCAGGTGGGGTGTCTCACAGGGGTAGGGGATGCGGATCCAGGGCGCAATAGCCATGATGTCCCCTCGGGCGTCCGTTCGTGCCTGGAATCCATAAGCTGTGGGGTCTGAGGGCAGCACATTCGTCAGGGTCAGGATATAGCAGAGCAGCCACACGGTCATGATGGCCAGCACAATCTGAAGTGGGGTGGGGTGAGGGGAGCATTGAGGGCCCTGGAAGTCTTGGTCCAGGCTAAGCAGCCCCTACCGCAGCCCTAGCTCCAGCTCCAGCCCCAGCCCCAGCCCTAGCCTTCGCCCCCACACCAGCTCAGACCTGGACCCCAATACCTACTCTAGCCGCTGACTGGGACCTCACCTGTGCTCTGGCTCTAGCTCCTCTGCTGTCCTGGACCTGACCGCCCCCCGACCTTTGCCCTGGCCCCAGGTCCAGCCCCTGCCCTAGTCCCAGCCCCAGCTGTCTGTCAGCTCCTCACAGGAAACATCTTGAAGATCTGGATGCGGAAGAGAGTGAGGCCTTTGCCCCAACGGTAGACAGGCAGCAGGAAGGTGAGGTTACGCAGGTACTGGGAGAAGAGGACGATCAGGAGAATGGAACTGGGGGCAGAGGCACAAAGGAAAGATGGCTGGTAGGCTGGACTGGGGCCAGGACATGAAAGGGGTGAAAGGGCTGGGGCTGGGAAAGATCAGGCTTAATGCCTGCTCACCAAGCTGAGATGCCCCAGTGGGAGCCAGCTCGGTCGCCAGCAGCTTGGAAGACAGAGAGGCCAATGAGGGAGACCGTGGGGGTGACCGTGAGAGGCCCTATGTAGCTGAGCAGGGCCCCAGGCAGCCCCATCAGCCCGATCACCACCTCCACCATGCTGGATACCATGATTGCACCCTGGACCTGGAAAAGCAAATAATGGTACTATAAGTCACTGTTTAGAGGCTATGACCTCTACATTAAAAAAAAAAAAGAAAAAAGGTCCTGGACCACCTCCTTGAATCCTCCAACTCATCATTGGCCCTCACTCCCAACTAGCCCCCTACTCAGGTCCAGATCTCTTCTACCCAGGTACAAACCCACCTCACGTATCCGTGGGTGCCAGATATGAGAAGTGTTCAGGGGAAGACTCCAGTTACCGTAGATCTCCTCTGGGATCAGAGACAGGGACACACACATAGCCAGGGAACACAGAGAAGAAGAGAAGGTGCTGCCATGAATGCAGTCTGGTGTCTGGACTCAGGACAGTTGCCCAGACTTCCAGGCCCCTGGGCCTCCCCTCTCCAGCACAGACCCCAGAAGTGTGCCCACCTTCTGGGGGGCATTTCCATCTCTCCAGACCCAGGATGGCTTTCGCTGGGACCAGAAATGCAAAGGCGCTGGCCTGGAACAGCGGCAGCCTGGAAGGAGAGGCAAAGAGCAACAGGACAGGGCCAGGGGAGGGCAGGGACACAGAGACAGCGGAGATGGGGAGAGAGGGGCACAGAGAGAAGGAAAGAAAGAATCACATCCAGGGACAGAGACACAGGGACAAGGGCAGGGCAAAGCTGAGAGAAGTCGCTGTGGCCCCAGGCAGGCCTCTAACGTTTTGGGGGCCCAAGGGAGAAAACAAATGCAGTCTCTGGCCTACAACATGCTCCCTTTCCTTCCCAACCCCACTTCCTGCACTGTGAGGGGCCATGTACAGGGAAGCAAACAGCTCAGCTCTTGCATCCAAGCCCCACTCACAACCTTCCTCCATCCCCCCATCACAAAAACAACCATCTTGTGGCCACCCAAGCCTAGAGCTGTGCACACAGGAGCAGGGGCCCCTGGGCAACAGGCCACTGAAGAAGCCCACACAGGCCCTAAAAGGGAGGAGTGGGTGGTCCTGATTACCCAGAGTAGGGCTTCACAGGAGGAGAGCCCAGCTAGGGTATATTCCCTTAAACCCGCAGACTTCTCGCCTTTGAGGAACGTCAGGGGCCTAACGTGGGATCCCAGCTTACGGGCTCTAAGGCTGGCTTGGGAGTAGGAGTAGCAGGTGGTGACAGATAGCAGCTTTTTCCCCCAAAGAAACAGCCCTCAGAGAAAACACCTTCTCCCACTGTGTGGATCACTGTGTGTGTTGAGGGTGGGGAGGCAGAGGCAGGACAGCTCACCGGATGCCCAGTGTGGTCTGGATGAGGGTGGTGATGCCCACGCAGGTGAAGATAGTACCGATGAGTTGGCTGACCATGTACTGGTCGCGGCCCACACACAGTGCCTCAGCCAGGAGGAAGGGCACAGCAATGGTGCCGCTGAAGCATGTCAAGTAATGCTGGGGGATGGTGGTGGGGGGGAGAGTGTATGAGGTGGGGCCCATAGGGCTCAAAGGGAAACAGGGGCGTCCTAACCATCCTTATGCCTGCCTCCGTGGGCCTGAACCCATGCTGCCCCTGGCAGCTCACCCAGGGCTGATACTCCTGCAAGGGATTCCCAGAGACCTACGCCTCACCTCTCTCTGGGTTAGTAATCTGCCTCCAAGTTATTCCTGTGGCTTCAGTGGAGTGAGTCCTCTTCCCTGTGACTGCCACTCTGCCTGGCAGGTGACATGTTCCTGGGGATAATCTCTCAGGCTCCATCAGACCCCCTCCCCACCCCTGCTTGGTGACCGTCACTGTTGCTGACCTTAGGTTTCTCTTCCTGTTACCCAAGATAAACTTGTTGGCCCGGAAAGGGGTGGGGATTCTGGGGAGCATGCAGAGTGGGGGTGGGGAAGCCCTCCCGAGAAGCCCACCTGGAAGCCCAGCAGAATGCACAGGTACCAGGGTGGCACATCCTCAATCTTGTACAACATGTCAAACTTGGGTTCTGTAGGCAGGGACATCGTGAGATCCCTCGTGGAGGTCCCTGCTGAGCCCAGGGACTCATGCTGGGGCAGCAGAGAGAAGGAACTCAGGGTGGAGTGATGAGGACCAGCTAAGTCCATTCTGCTCCAGAATCAATCAGGTAGCCCAAGTGGCTGTCAGATCCTCAGAAAGAGGTCCAAACCACACCCTCCCTCTCGGTTCAGCCACCCAACTGCCGCTTGGCCTGGCTACTCCCTGCTCGCTCTTCACATTCCTTTGTGCAGGGATAAGTCCACTCTGCTGGCTCCTGGAGGGCTTGGGACCAGGGCATTCCAACCAAGGGGATGGGCCCCTAAGTCAGAATGCCTTGGGGAGCAACAGAGGAGGGGACCAAGAAGGCTGAAGTCTGTGGACAGGCCCTCTTGGGCACACTGTGGTTTCACTCTTGCCCCCTTGGAGGTCCTCGGGGTTTCCCTGGCGGTGGGAGAGGTTGGGTCCCTGCTGGCCCTCAAGCTGGAGTCTGCCAGTCCTAAAGCTGATGACCCCTGCACCCACTGCCACCCACACACCATCCCCCAATTGCTACGTTCAGCTTGGGATAGTCACTCTCGATCAAGTTCATCAGAACTTTTGTCTCTTGCTTCCCGGGGAGAAGGCCTAAGAAGGCTCTCTAGCTCCCACCCAACCCTGCCCCCCACCCAGGTCCCACCCGTTCCCCAGCACCTGTGTCTGGCCCTCGGGGTCCTCCTGGGCCCTCATCTTTGGGGCACAGGTGTGAGCGGTTCCTGAGGAAAAGAGGGGATTGGCTTTACGAAGGCCAAGAAGGACTTTAGTCCACACATCAGACATTGTTTGAAGTAAATCTGTAACCAGATCCCCAGCTCTGATTGCGAAAGGAGGACCTGGGTGGAGATAACGTATTAACTCTGGCCATGGTGGTAAAGGCCACCCAAGCCTCTGCCGTCTGAGCACGCCCTTCCCTGACTGCACCTGAGCCTGGGCATGGGACCTGTTCTTGTTTCCAAGAGAGGGTCAGAGTGCTGGTGAGGGGTGGGCAACCCCACCAACCCCAGGGTGAGGTGGTAGTAGCGGGGGGCATTTACTAGGTCACACTCTGAACAAGACTCTTCCTCCCCACTTATTAATAACAAGTTAATAATTATCATTACCATAACCACTGTCTTTAATGAGGAATGACTGTATGCCAAGCAATTGCTATGTACTGCCGTGTTTAACCCCAGGCACTAGGCGGTATTAACCTCTTTTATAGCTGAAGAAACAGATCTAGGAGATGTGATCTGACCAAGGCCACATAGGTGCATGATTTTAGAAAAACATTCCAAAAACTCAGGTTGGCCTGAACTCTGGAGCTCATGCTATAAATCAGCCATTAAATTTGATAAAGGCCTGCCCTCCCCACACAGCCACTAATCCCTCAGTTTCTCAGAGGCCCAAAACAGATGGGCCAGCCTTGCCTGTTCCCTATGTCAAGACAATGATTCCCTTCCCCTCCCGGGCAGGACTGGCTACATAATTCACAGGCCTCTGTGCAAAATGAAAATTTGGGACCCCCGTTCCAAAAGCATTATGAATTTTAACACAGCAGTAGTAGAATATTAAACCAAATATAAGGCCTTTCTAAGCACTGGGCTCTGTGTGAGTGCATGTCACTGAAACCTGCCCTCGACTCAGCCTGTCTTCTCCTCCTGGCAGGCCTACCAGCCTGATCATGGGACCTGGGGGCTAAAGGTGGTTGGGAGGGTCTGAGGAGCTGAGGCTCTTCAGCTGGTGGGGATGGACCTAAAGTTCCTGGTTCTGCTTCCCTCTGGGCTGCCCCAGCCCCAGCCCTCCAGGGCCCACCTACTTCTGGGTTGCTGTGCCCACGGCCAGGCCCTGTTCCAAGGACCCACAGGCAGCAGTGCTCTCCACCTGGGCAGCAGCTTCATCCCACGGCCGTGAATCCGTCGTCAGCTTCTCCAGTCCCCAGCTGTTCCTCTGTCTGCCTATCTTCTCCTCTCCCTTCTTGGCTCTTGCTGCCAGGTTTCCCAAAGTCGTCTGACCAGTTTGAAGCTTCAAACTTCTCCTTAGCATTTTCCTCCCCACCTGCCTCTCTCCACCCCAGTACTCCCCAGGGGGCTATGGATGGAGACTGAGCTCCACCCCTTACACTTAGGTGCACAAGTCCCACAGACATTCAGTTCAACCCAGCCACATGCCACACACACAGAAACAAGGCAGATATGTTGTACATGGTTTCAGGTACACAAACAAATGGATCCACTGAACTCAGACTGTGCTGCAGTGTATCTAAATCACTCCATGTAGGGGCGCCTGGGTGGCTCAGTTGGTTGAGCGTCCGACTTCGGCTCAGGTCATGATCTCACAGTCAGTGGGTTCTAGCCCCTTGTCGGGCTCTGTGCTGACAGCTCAGAGCCTGGAGCCTGTTTCAGATTCTGTGTCTCCCTCTCTCTGTGCCCCTCCCCTGTTTGTGCTCTGTCTCTGTCTCAAGAATAAATAAACTTTAGAAAAATTAAAAAAAAAAAAACTTAAAAATAAATAAATAAATCACTCCATGTAATCACAGGGCCACACAGATCCATGTCATAGGATCCCATCTCCACACCCAATACACTGGCAGCTCAGCTGGTTCCTTGGGCCCTGGCTCTCTTCCTGGTGACTAGGGGTTCTCTCCTGGGGTGAAGGCCAGGGAGGAGGGGCCTCAGGCAGATAGGGACCAGGTAATGGAATGTAGGGGACCAGGCTGCAGTATAGCTCATAAAATCTGGAGGGGTCAGGTCCTGCCTGGGGCACCCCTATTCCTCCAGCAATGACTTCCCCCCCAATTCCCCAAATCTGAATCCCCTCCCAGCCCTGTCACTACTCAAACTTGGACTTGGTTTGAGCCTCTTTTATTTTCTAAGCCTTGGTTTCGGTGTCTGTCAACTGGGGATTAGAGTGTCTGTTCTGTCCACCTCCCAGGGCTTCAGCAGATCAGAGAGACACCCACAAAAGAAACTACAAGGTATAGCACTGCCTGCCCACAGGTTCCCAGACTTAGGTGGGGCCCAGGTGGAACCATTTCCTCCATTGCCAAGGAAAGGTCTCAGGCTAGAAGAATTTCTGGGGAGAGCGGGACTTAGAATCAAGATACTGAATCCAGCACGTTCCAGGAACCCTGCCCTCCGCAGTCCCAGGCAGACACCTAGGGCTCAATCATGCCAGCTAGGGTCAGAGGTAGAGTCTGGAAACTGAGCAGCTGCTGGGCATAGACCCAGTTAGACCAGTGTTCAGGGAGGGGCACAGATAGCAGAGTGCTAAGTAGGCGTGTCCACAGGTAGTCTGCTCATGGAGTTTTCCTTTTCTCTCCTGATGGATCTGGGTTTTATCATTCATATAACAGATTCCATATGCCTTTGACAGCTTGCTCACATTTCTAGCCATGACAGGTCTCACCTACCTCTGGAAAACTGTATGGAAGTGTATTTGGCCCTCTCTAGGTACAACCTCAGCAGAAATACCAAAGTCTGACTTTCCAGCCCCATGAGCACCTTTTGCAGACGGAAGGAATCAAGAAATGGAGGTCACTGGGTTTTATTTGAGTCCAGAAGGGAAGGCCTCGCCTCACACACACCAGGCCCCAGTGTTCTAAAGCCTGAGGAGGGGGGTGGTGGCCATGGCAGCACAGAAAAGCATGGCCTCCCTGCCCTCCAGGCAGCCTGCACAAAGGAGTAGGACAGATCCAGAGGAAGCCCAGCTCCCTTCAGGGGCTGACCAGGAAGGGGAAGGAGCAGTTGGACTAGAGCTCTGTCTTCCTGACAGGTGCCTCCTCTGAGCAGGCCCCCTGGGGGCCTCCACACAGCAACGCCTCCAGAGCCTCTCGGCCTTGTTGGTGGGCTTCGTAGATCTGGTCTTCTCCAAACTCCCCCAGGTAGTGCAAACATGTCATGGAGAGCCTAGGGGAGCCCAGCAAGAGCCTCAGACTTTGCCTGCCCCACAGGGGGCTGATCAAGGCTCCAAAGTCTCCATTCCACCCCCCATTCCTGCCATCACCTGGTGGGCCAGGGGCCCCCTGTGATCATCACGCTGATGTTTGGCTCTGGCCCCTTGCTGAGTCCTGGGCCCGTGAGACGTTTCACCTGGTTCACTTCTCGGACCCCGTAGCTGGAAGCAGTGGGGAGGAGAGATTCAGCATTAGTGGGAGCCCTGCCAGCAAGGGATCCATCCCCACATGAGGCTGAGCACACTGGGCATTTGCTGAAGCCAGAGCCCAGATTCTGATCTTCACTGATGGAAAACTGAGGACCAGAGAGGGAAAGCCCCTGGCCCAAGGTCACACAGCAACCATATATCCTGGCCACCTACCATTCTACTTGCTCCTAGCTCCAGAGCTCAGACTGCCTCACAGCCAGCCCCCTACCTTAGACCAGAGCCCTAGTGGATTGTGTGTCTGGCGTGAGTGGGAGAATGAGAACCTCTACCCATCATCCCTTCCCTTGGGGGAGGGTGGTAGGGACCAGACTTTTGACTCACCCCTGCCAGGTCTGGGAGCAGCTCCGGTCCAGGATGTCTGTGTATACTGATTCACTCAGCTCCTGCTGCCCTCCTGAGTCCCGGGTGTGAAGCTTGGCCTCTGCCTTTGCCAAATGTTGCCACATCTAGAACAAGGAGGGGCTGAGAGCCAGGACTTTTGGACTGCTCAGTGGTGGGAGAGGGGCAGACAGGAGCCTGGGTCTCCGGGAGAAAGTGAGGTGAGCCTTTTGAGCAGGAAACTCCTGTGAACAGGCTTCATGGCCCTCCCACAGGCTCAGAAAGCTGAGACTGGGTCTGCTGAGATAGGATCCACTTCCCTGGAATGGGGTGGGTGGGAGACTCTGAAGTGGAAATTTAGGCCTGAGCACTGGGCCTCCTTCCCCAGGGCACACCTGCCCATCAGCACATGATATTTTATTTTATTTTTTTAAGTTCATTTATTTATTTATTTTTTCAACGTTTATTTATTTTTGGGACAGAGAGAGACAGAGCATGAACGGGGGAGGGGCAGAGAGAGAGGGAGACACAGAATTGGAAACAGGCTCCAGGCTCTGAGCCATCAGCCCAGAGCCCGACGCGGGGCTCGAACTCACGGACCGCGAGATCGTGACCTGGCTGAAGTCGGACGCCTAACCGACTGCGCCACCCAGGC